CGTCTCCGCCTGGCTCAGCTTCCGCAGCCCTCGCCGCTTCCAAAGCGCAGCCCAGACTCGAGCCTCGCCGCCTGTCGTCCCCTTTCTTTGAAGAGGAGGTTTGGAAAAACTGCCTTTTAGGGGCTCGCGATGCTTCTCTGGGCTCGTTCGGGTGCCGGAGAAGAATGGTAACAGGAAGAGCGGAGCGTGAAGGCGTCACGGTGGCACCAGAGATTGATGGGCCGAGCGCGCACTTGGCGGAGGAGCTCTCTCCGAGGACGTCGCGGCGCCTGCACTTCCTGGCTGGACTCGGCTGACATCTGTAGCCTCCTCTCCCACAGGTTCCCAGGTCGCCGAGCCTCTGCCCGCAGAGGAGCTTCAGGGCTGCGCCAGAGGCTCCGGGAGTTTGCAGACCTCTGTCCGAACAGGAGGTCTGCCTCGCATACCGAGTCTCTGGATCCCCGCGGTGTGCGCTGGCAAGCTGGCTCCGGAGGGAGTTCGATTTGAGTTCAGGTGGGTGATCCCCGGGGTAGCACAGGAGATGTCCGGGTGAGGCGAGGAAGGCGATGTTCCACTGTCAAAAGCGGACACTTTTCTTTCTGACATTTGATGGGGACCAGTCAGTCACTCCCTCTCATTGAGTTCTCTGCCCTAACCCGATGCTCCCTAACCCAGACCCCAACACTAAGCAGGGATGGCGGGCAAAGCAGAACACCAGAAAAGGCAGCTCTAAAGTGTCTAGCATGCTATTGCCTTTTTCAAAACTTATCATCAGTCTGTAAAACGATCATATTTACTCCATTGCTTTGCATTAATGGAGGTCAATGGGCTTAATGATTTCCTCAGTTGAGTCATTTATTTGTAAGCCAATAGATAATGCCTTCGTCATAGTTTTCTGGGGAAAAGTAACTGTACGTTTGTTCTGCAGATGGCCAACTCCCTCTGAATCGTGCAGATTGGTGCTGAGCAGGCAACAAAAGTTTGTAGCTTCCCCTCAGTTTCTGGTGCTTCACAGGGGAGAGGAGAGGACTTTGGCATTAAACTCAAGAAGCAGTCAGGGAACCATCTCCCTTAACTTTTCTCCTCTGTTACCATTTGCCATGAAGAGAAAACAGAAGAGATTTCTGCAGATGACTTTGTTATTCATGTTGGCTTTAATTTTCCTGCCCAATATTGGTCTCTGGTCTCTGTACAAGGATAAACACCTGGTGAAATCTACAGAGCCGGGGGAACAGCAGGTAAGTGCTATCCAAAGAAAAGGATTGGTAAGGCATGCAGCCCTTTCTCAGCTACAGGAAGACGTAGCTATGGGATAGATTGGGTTTTCCTTCAAGTCTTTCTTTAATGAGCTAATTTTACAAGACTCTTGAGACTGAGGTTTGATCAGGTACTTGTGTTAAAACTGCAGCCAATGATGTGATAACAGGCAAAATACACTGGAAAAGAGGACTAAGAGAGGTCAAGAAGAAAAGATACTTTTCAAAATGTGTCTGGTTGATTTGGGCTAGAAGTGGATGCCTACTTGTGGGAGGTGGGATGCATTTAGTGCAAGTTCAATTATAAGTATTTAGTTTTGCCTTCAGTCTTGTTTGTATGTCTGTGTGAAAGTAAACTGGGCCAACTAAATCATTGAAAATTTGAAGCAATCTTTAGAATAAAGTTACAGTTTTCCATATTTTGGTTGTGATTTTTGCTAATCAGTGGCTTTGTACCTCTTGGAAACTTAGTCTCTCCTTCTCCTGTTGCTAAGGTAACAATGATGTGGTAGGTAACACAGGCAGAGTTATGACTATCCGTTTAGTTCCACAGTCTGATAATAAGTTTGTGGCTAAAATTTAATCCCCTGTATCCAAAACATCATATAATATGGTATTTGTTTGTACACAGTATGCAACCCATTAGTATGCTTATGTTTCATGACTTCACTTGGATCAAAATAGTTGTCTTTCTTAGCAAACAAGAATGTGAAGTATCTTTCCCAAAATATTGATGAAAATCGACCTTGTTGAATTCCTTGTTTATTAATAAATTGAACATCTTTTGTATTTAAACTTTTGGCAATGTAATGCAGCCTTCATGAGATTGATGTGATACTTTTCTAGTTAGTCCTATATCTCACCTTGGAATATTAATATTCTTAATTTCAAGGGTCATCACCCATGTACACAATGTACTTTCTGCATGCGAGAAGGTACTAGGGAAGTCCATTTCTAGATAACAGCATATATATTAATGGCAGTTGCTTATTTATTCTTATACTTAGCAAAGTTTAATTTGTTGCTTACACAAGGAGTAGTTAAGTTGTAAAGTATATGGAAGGAACCTGCTTTTTCACTATGACAAGAAGGCATTGCTAACCATTAAAGATAACTAGTATTTATGCATTTTTAGTACATATGAATGTTGAGGAAAATGCTGACACATTATCATTTAGTTGTTGATATTTATCGTTATTTCTGATAAGAAATTAAATTTGCTTGGAAGTATATATTCTGTTTTTTCATTCCATTGTGAGGAGAAATGAAGATGGGCACTTTGGATGTGAAACTGTTTCTTTCCTATTTAAATCAATTCTTTCTTCCATTTTTGGTATACAACAAAGTCTTACTAACAGTAGTAGTCAGTACAATTATATGTAAATTTTTCATTCCGATAATGATTAGTAAGAAAAGCGAGCTTTCTTTTTCGCGAATTTTGCTAATTCAATTAACAATACTAACTGATGTATATGCTGGTGCAGCTAACATAGAACACTAATTAATCTTATTAATGAGCTCTTTACAACTTTCACACTGGCTTTATTGATTCTGACTCTAATGAGAAAATTATTTGTCCAATGGCATTTTAAAAAATAAAATGTAGTAATTCAACTCTCTGCTTTGTCATTAAAATCTTCAAAGCAGTTTTCTTGTTTTATGGTCTTCTATACTGCAAATTATACTTAATTTCCAGTATTAAAATTAGTGAGTACAAAGAGCACATGTGGCAGAAGCAGCTGTCCCTCAAAATTTACATCTGAAAATGACTCAAGTTAATGAATATCTTGCTTAATAATCCTTCAGCAAAGTTCTGAAACCAAGAGATGAAGAAAATATAGTCACAAATTCTAAAATGAGGGCTGATCGTATAGATACCTAAATAATATTTACAACTACTTTCTTACATATTAAAATTCAAGTAGATATATTCACAGCATTGCATAAGTTTCTGATAAGTCATCGTTAACATATTTGACTAAGTGACTTACAATGATGAATTAAGCCTGTTTAATATCCTGATGCAATATTTTACTAATGTATCCAGATTTCAGTGTAAGTAAGTTGGCCAAATTTATAGGTTTGGAATCCTAGCCTATAATTTGACTGTCGGATAATGTGTTGTTTAAATTTAGCACTTTATTTTAAAAAGATTTTTTTTGGCTAATTGCTAAATGTTCTGCAGAACCATATTTTCTATGTTTATCTCCAAGTTGTAAAAATCCTGAGGAAAAAGATAATGTGACAGTTGAGGTATTGACAGCGATAAGTACTAAAACTATTCAAAAAGTGTTACATGCCCATGGGAGCAGTATATTTTTACAGCTGTTTTGTGAAACAGCCAGTGGTTCTGGTTCTAAGTGTGGCATGCGAGTTCTTACAGGAGTTTAAATACCTTCAGTGCTTTAAAGAATTTGATGGTAACTGTGGGCTACAAAGAAACAATTTAATTTAGAATGTTCAAAAATCGTGAAATGACTACTAAATATTCCTAATTTGTATTTTACCAGATCAGATCATTAATAAATTTTATAATTGTTGTTGAGTATAAATTATATTTATCAAATAATCTAAAATAAAAGGAGTAAAAGTTAAAAACCGTAGATAATTATGTATATTTTCACAAAGTTTAACATTTAAAGCATTTCTTAGTGTGCTATTTCAAGTTAATTTCTTATATTTAATGGTTTTATTTTAAATATAATATTTGTAATAATCCTGTATAACTTTTATATATTTATTCCACCTATGGTGCAAAAAGGGGAAAAAAATAAGAAACCATCCGAAAATTACTTAAGGATTTTTCTTCCTTTTCCTTCATAGAACCAAAAAAGAATGATAAAATAGTTTTGATAACACAATGCAATAAAAATTTTGTAAGGAGTTTTTGATTGTTTGAGCATTGCAAAATTAAAATCAGATCACTGATATAAATGTTTGCCTTGGATATGTTTAAGGTTTCACACAAATTTTAAAATGATTTATAACTTTTATTTGTTATTAAATTATCATATTAATGCTATTTTTAGTTGATTTAGGGTTGTCTTTTTTGTTTCTGGGAAAAGTCTCTACTTAAAAACACATATGTATATTAAAAATAATCTATGACAAATAAGATATTTTACTCAAAATGATTGATGTATGATTATTTTTTGGTAAATCTTAATTCATTTAAATATATATTTGCTCTTCTCTGGTTTTAGCTTCATTTAAATTAATTCAAAATTACATATTTAAGTCTTAGGTCATATTTGGGACAATATATAGAAAAATGCAATATTTTTGAACAAAAGTTCTGCATCTAGTACTTATTCAAATATATAGAAAAAATACCCCTAAAGTTTCTTGTCTTAAATATGTTAAATGGATTATCTACAATCTTAACATAAAATGGAAGCTATAATAACAGTTCAGCAACTAACTTGAAAATAAAATGTTGCAAAATAATTATGAAGAGTATCTTGTAAATTTTGACATTAAAAATAAGACTCAAAATAAAATAAAATTATATCAGACATTCTGGGAATTGTCTAGATTGATTTTAGATGTTAATGTTTGTCCTAGATTTTCTAACACATTAAAACACTAGACACTATGAGTTACTTTGAACAGGTATGATTTAGTTTTCCAAAATTCAGAATTTCTATTACACAATAAAACTATTCATGCTTGTTATGTAGTAAGACACATAAAATTTTAAGAGAGCCCACCTTGAAGATAGGAAATACTGTGAAATACTATTTTGGTTTTAGTCTGATCCACCTGTAATTTGTGCTTGACAGTGTGTGACTTAACTTCCATAAAAACATGTCTTGAGATTCCTGAGCATCTTTGCCCAATTCCTTTAATGTGAATGTTATCTCCACTTCATGGGGAATCTTCCTCTTGACTTTTTCTTCTCCTGTGGCATTTTAAACTTGTTTAAATATAAAATTGTTTAAAATTGAAAATGTCAGGTAATTGGTACCTACTGTATACAAACTGTCTGTTTTTTTCTTTTGTCATGCTGATCACTAAAGCTCTTAAGTGTATCTTCCTTTTTCAGCAAATACCTTAGATATTGGAAGAGCTAAGGACAGAAGAAATTTTCTTTTCTGCATGCGGCATAGTGCATTCTCAATTCACTACCTGCGAAATGATGCATTAGTTTGAGCCATACTACTCTTAATTAGCTATGATGCAGATTTTAAATTAGGGTTTTAAAGGACCTTTCCTTGAATTTATGGAAAATCCATTCAGGATCACTACAGGATAGCACTATACAAACCACTGTAACAAGTGCCTTAGTTATTTGGTGTGACCTAGTAGATCACTACATGATTAGTTCATCACACTGCCCTCTGGGAGACAGAGGGTGACACGGACTTCTGTTCACAATCTGCTAAAAAATGAGATGACCCCCCAATTCATTCCTGAATTAGACAAGCTGTGCTGAATCATCCAACCTCCTATACATTTCAACTATAATAGGAATGAAATCAAGCTGGAGGATATAGGGAAGGTAAGACAGGTTGGGCGATTTAAGTGGCATAGAGTAGGTGATGATTTCTTTGTTTAAAAAACTTTGTCAGTTAGTAGCCACAAAAACCTTTAGGAGTTTGCTACCATGTTGCTCCTTATAATATTTTTAGAGAGATGAAAGCAGCCCAGGAGAAGATATAAATAAAAGAAACATATCTGCCATGTAAGAGGTATATAGAATCTTAAAATCAGAAACTGATATGTTTTGTGTCTCCAGTCTGTCCCATCTTTCCCTTGCTTGATGGGCTTATGGTGAAGAGTTCAAGGACAGAATACTTCAGATCCTTAAAACTGTCTGATAAGATCTTGTTATTCATCTCTTTCTTATGTATTTGCATATATTTGCTTACATATATTTATAAAAGTATTATCACAGAATCAAAATTTTAAAAATGCAAAAACAATAGAAGGTTCTGAAAGTGACGATAACGATAAAGACAAACTCATAGACACTTGCTCCC